GGGGGGGTGTGTGTGTGTGTCTGTGTGTGGGTGTGTATGTTTGTGTGTGAATTTGTGTGTGTGTTTGTGAGAGAGTGTGTGAATGTGTGGGTGTGTGTGTGTGTGTGTGTGAGAGAGAGTGTGTGGGTGTGTGTGTGAGAGAGAGAGAGTGTGTGTGTGTGTCTGTATGTGGGTGTGTCTGTATGTGTGTATGAGAGTGTGTGATTGTGTGTATATGAGTGTATGTGCTTGTGTCTGTGTTTGTGCATGAATGAGAATATGTGCCTGTGTGTGTATCTGAGTGTCTCTATGTCTGCTTGTCAGTGTATCTGTGTGTATAAATGTGAGACTGTGTCAGTTTGTGTGTGTGTTCACATGCGCATGTGTCTATGATTGTGTGTGTGTGTGTGTGCATGTGTGTGTGTGTGTGTATGCGTGTTTCTGTCTGTGTATTTGTAAGTATATACGTATCAGTTGTGGGTGCGTGTGTGTGAATTTGTGAGGCTGTGTGCCTGTTGGAGCAGATCTGAGAAAGGTGTGGGCTGAATTTTAACCGCAACAGTGCCACAGCATGAGATGTAATGATCTATCTTGGGGATGAAAATGTGACATTTGTCTGACATGTGTGCCTGGGGGAGCAGGCGATGGCAGATCTAATCCTTCACCAGTTTTCCCTCTGTCACCTTCCCTCTCTCTAGCAGGTAACCTACCGTGTCATTCAGGTGACCGATAGCCCTTTAGACACTCAAAGTGAGGGCACAGCAGCAGTGAGTGTCCTGGCCACAGCTCCTGGATTCTCACCAACCTCTCAGGCCGTAACACAGGTAACAGCGCGATGCTGAATCGGAAATATTTGACGGGGATGCTGTATTGTGATAGAATGGTACCGCATGGTAGATTGTTGAGTACAGTTCAATCTCACAGGATCCACGGAGAGCTGGCCAATTGGATACAAAATTGGCTTGACGGTAGAAGACAGAGGGTGGTGGTGGAGGGTTGCTTTTCAGACTGGAGGCCTGTGACCAGCAGTGTGCCACAGGGATCGGCGCTGGGTCCACTGTTATTCGTCATTCATATAAATGATTTGTTTGAGAATTTAGGATGGTATGGTTAGTAAGTTTGCAGATGTCACCAAGCTTGGTGATATAGTGGACAGGGAAGGAGGTTATCTGGGCATACAGCGAGATCTTGATCAACTGGGCCAGTGGGCTGGGGAAACGGCAGATGGAGTTTAATTTAGATAAATGCAAGATGTTG